GTTAGCTGCTGCACCTCCTCTCTGTATGGTGACTCGTCGTTCTTGCTGATGAGCTCCACCATGGTCACGTTATCAGCAAACTTGATGATGTGATTCGAGCTGTGCATTGCTTCACAGTCGTGAGTCAGCAGAGTGAACAGCAGTGGACTGAGCACACAGCCCTGGGGGGCCCCAGAACAATACAATACAATACAATAACATAATACAATTCAATACAGCTGTTTTTGGCCTATGGGGAAAAAAAACTGTGCAGGATTTCCAATGTGGAGGGAAACACTGAAGAAGTGGGGTCAGCCATGATTGCTCTGTTCTTCACCCTAGATGGGTCCAGGTCAGTGAAGATGGAAAGCTGACAGCAAAACATTTTTTCTGCACTCCTTATGACACGCTGTAGCTTGAGTCTGGAGTGTGAAGTTGCAGAGCTGTTGGTGTACAGCGAGTAGAGCAGGTCAGAAAGTGCACAATTTTGTGGAGTTGGTTTTGAGGTACAGTGGGTCTGACATGTGGTCACCCATTCTGCCACCCTTTTGGACAGGAAATTGATAATCCAACAACACACAGATGAACATACATTCAGCTGTCTTAGTTTATCCAAGAGTAAGTCAGGGTTGATATTATTGAAAGCAGAGCTGAAATCCACAAACAGAATGTGGGTATAGGTATGAGATGCTGCAGGCTGTGGTGCACAGGCAAAATTTATCCCAAATTTATCCCAAAGCCAAGCCAAATTTACACCTGTTAACTCTATATGCAAACTGGAGGGGATGTTGAAGGCCATCTGTCATGGTTTTGAGGTGGCGCAAAATTCTTTCAAAGCCATTCACAGATGTTAAAGCAATAAATCAACTGGTTTACAAGCAGGAAATTGTCTCTTTCTTGGGAACTGGAGTGATAATTAAAATTTTGAAATAGACAGGCACAATACAGTGGACTAGGGCCTGATTAAATAGATCAGTAAGAATAGGAGTCATTCTGAGGAATGCCTGAGTGATGCTGGTGAGACACGGTCAGGGCCTGCCACCTTCCTGGTCTTCTGTTTCCTCAGTGTTCAATGATAATGATAGGGGATTTGTTGAGCCTGTGCCCACTGTAGCCTCAGGTTTCTGTTCTTGATTGACGGGGGTGAAACCCGATGTGGTCTTCTGCTGCTGTAATCCATCTGCCTCAAGGTTCAGCGTTCTGTGCATTATGAGATGCTTTCCTGTCAGTGCAAACCAGTCTGGCCTTTCTGCCCACAGAACTGATGCTCACTGGATGTTTTTTTTTTATATATAACATTCTATGTAGACTCTAGAGAGTGTTGTGCATGAAAATCCCAGAAGATCAGCAGTTACTGAAATATCATACATGTGTGTGACCCTAAACCTAGACCCAGGGCTGTTGGGTTAATACATGCAGAAAACAAAATGATAAAAGTAGACTATACTCAAAACAATTTGCTTCCAAACGTATTTGCATTATTTGCTAGAATCTTAAGTTTAGAAGCTGCATGTGTTCTGGTTTCCATACCACTAATCCTAACCCTAGTGCAATGAAAATGTAAAAAATGTCAACACACAAACATTGTCTACACATCTATTTGTATTATGTAGAATTTTAAGTTTGCAAGATACAAGTGCTCTGGTTTGTGCAACCCTAACCTGACCCCTAGCCCACGCCTATAGGTTTAATACATGCCAAAGTTGATAAAAATCACAACAGCAGTACACGCAAAACTACTGGCTTCCACGTGAAGGAAAAGACGACAAAAAAATAAAGACCCCCTTTTGAGTTGTCCCAAGCCTGCCTCCCATCTCCTCATTTCCACGCAAACCTGTAAGAGTGTTAACATTTCAATATAAACATTTAATGTGTTTCACAATGGTGGCACATCTTAGTGAGCAACAGGTATGGGAAAAAGGGCAATTACCAAGAAACTGGAAAGAAGTGATAAAGTAGCGATGTGGAGAGGAGGGAAGGATGGAACTGATCCAGGGAGCTCCACTGGCGAGCACCGGCCGCACCCATGTGTAAACGCATGGAAGAAATGATTAATGAAAGGCTTACGTGTTGTATAGAAACAAGAACCTTATGACAACCAGTTTGAGCTGATTTAGAAGAGGGAGAGGAACAATGGACCAAATGTCTTGTATAGAACATTAAATAGGAAATACTCAGAAAAATAAATTACAGAAATTCAATTGAAAATAACAAAATGAGTCCTTTATTGTTCTCGATCATGATTTTTGATTTAATGAGTTTTTTCACAATTAGAAAGAGAAACAGGAAGCTGTCTTTTTGCATATGATGGAGCATTTGGAAAAGACGAAGAAACATTGTTTTTATTGTTAAGAAACTATCAGAAAAGTTGAAAAATGATCTCTCAAATGGGGCTTTAGATTTTCTATAGAGAAAACAAAAGCACTATTTACAAGCAAGGAAACGATGATTTCATGGGAACTAAATTTATATGGACGGTAATTGGAAAAGGTGACATGGTTTGATGAAAGATCAATCTGGTCAGTACATTATAAAGAAAGTAATTAATAAATGCAGAAAGGTTCTTAATGTAAAGAGATGCCTAGCAGGCTATGTATGGGGAGCAGAAAGAACAAAACAATGAAAACAAGTTAATTTAAGTATATGTTGCAAAACTTTACAAACTAATAGCATCATTACAAGTTGAAAAGGCATATAAATCACATAAAGGTTAGTCCAATAGTGCCTCTCTCACACTCTCTCTAGTACCATCTGGAAGAAATAAACATAAATGAAAAATAAGCATACTGAAAATAAATATTATAGTTATGTACAGATATACAGTCCCTTCCGAAAGTATTGGAACAGCAAGGCCAATTGTTTTTTTTTCTTTTCTATACACTGAAGTCATTTGGGCTTGAGATCAAAAGATGAATGTACATGTACATTTGTACACATCTGATAAATATAATGTGAATTTTACTTTTTATCTCACCTAGATGAACTCAGCAGCTCAATAGCAAGCCCTTTACCTGTAGGGAAAAATTCATTAAAAATATGTAGGCAAGACAGACTCAATGGCTGTGGACACACTTCAGGGAAGTAAATGATGTAAATGTGCACAATATCATTTGTACACATTATTTGTACTAGTAAGAAATTAAATATACTGACTATTACACCTTTAAAAATAAATTGTTTGACAGTTTTGTTTTGTTTTTTCCCCTCACTCTGAGCAGATATTTTCTGAAGGTATACAGTCGGTCTACACTCCATACCAGTAGGTGGCCGTAATGCACTGTTGTTCGCTAACCGCCATAAAACAGGAAGCAGCAGAAGAAGAAAACGAAGAAGAAGAAGAAGAAGAAGAGGAAGTTGTTGTTGTAATAGCAGCAGTAGCAGCAACAGTAGCAACAGTAGCAGCAGCAGTACCAGGACCAGGTCTACTGGGGGCGCACTTCCGGCCAGAGCTCACTTTTATTTTCAGTTCAGTATGGCGCTGTACGGGAGAAAGGTCCTTGCTGTTGGACGGTATGTATTTGTCATTCATCTACAAGCTCGAGTACAGTTTATGTTTTGTAACATTTACAAAAATACTCCTAAAATATGTCAAAATGTACACAGCTACCTAGCTGGAAATAAGCGTCGGGTTTTGTGTGTTCGACCTATCTGGACTTGGCTTTTTCACTTTTTAGAGACACTGCAGTTGAAATGTAGATACTCTGTACTCAAACGCTGAACCAGCTTTTCTCAGCTTTAATCAGCGCCACTGCTTTATTCCGGTCTGCATTTAAACCTACCAAACTTCCGTATTTGTCTTAACGTTTCCTCAAAATTATTCCGTATCTCACACTGACAAAGGAACTCCCCCCTCCCTATTCTCATTGTGACAAGCTGCAATTTTTTTTACTGAAGAAAAAGCATACTTATTGTTTTATGTTAAAGTAATTAACTGCACACATTCGGCGCTCGGTCTGAGAGAGACGGTTGGCAACAGGCCACACCCCCTGACTACAGCTTCATTGCGTCATATCTCAGTTGGTTTATTTTGGATGTTGGAAGTTCCTCAGGGTGTGCTGACATTTCTGGGGGAAAAACAATTCATAATCTAATTTGAATAGATTTTTTTTTTTTCTGAACAAAGACAAGAAAATCCAGTTTCCAAGATATAATAATAATAATAATATGTTGTCTTCTGATACTGCTCTAAGCATATTATTACAATGCCCCATAGTAAAACAGTACTATTAAAAATAAATGTAAAAAAAGATTTATATTTTAAAACTAAAAAAAACAAAACAAATATGAACATGATTTAAAATATTTCCTGCTGCGTCATCAGGTTTATTTAAAAGAAGGCTAAATAAAAAATGTGGCTGCAGATGATTGAACTTTTGATATAATGTTATTGTTCAAACATTGCTATTGTTCTTTAAAAAAAAACAAAAAAAAAACAACTTGTATTTACAAAGGTCGAACTAGCACTTAAAGGGACAATAAATCATTATTTTTGTCCTGGTTTTTGTTCATAGCTGCGCAGTTATCTTGCTGAGCTCTGCCATCAGAACACGTCCCACACTTATGAGGCTGCCATCAATAATCAGGAGGAACTGGATTTCAGTCGGCATCTCTGGAAGCCTGTGCGCCGTTCCCTTTGTACAGGTTTGATGTGTTATCATGACTGAGATTTACTGATAAACGTATCAAAGCGAAAGTGCACAGTCTGGTCAAGTATTTATCTCACAGTATAGGTACAAATTCCCTTCCCGCATGTAACGTGTTATAATGGAATTTTCTAAGAACCTTACGGACCGTGTCATTTATAGATAGAGGTAAAATGTTTTGGTAAATAATATTTATCAGGAACTAATGAAGTGTAGGCAATATATGAATAGTTGTTGTTCCTCTTCCGGCTGCTCCCATTAGGGGGTCGCCACAGCGGATCATTGGTCCACGGATTTGATTCGGCACAGTTGCCCTCCCTGACGCAACTCTCCTCGATTTTATCCGGGCTTGGGACCGGCACTGTCGTACGGGGTCGGTTCCCTGGCCAGGAATCGAACCCGGGCTGCAGCGGTTGGAGCGCTGCGGCCTAACCACTGGTCCTCCAGAGACCCCAATATATGAATAGTTAATTCTATTAATTATTATAGCAATAGTTAAGCATCAATCGCTTGTTAACTCATTCTCTTAATTAATATCATGACTTGCAGCATTAATAAAGATTAATGGTATTTTTGTACACAATGTAGCTTAACCCATACTTTAGGCTATTTAAGTAACTTGGGACAATTCACAGTTGGAAACCAGCAACTCAAAAACCAACCCACTCCAAAATCAACATCACTTTACTGTGATATTATAAATATACCATATATACATACTAATTCCTCTCTGAGATTATTGGAACAGCAAGGCCATTTCTTTCGTTTTTGCTATACACTGAAGACATTTAGGTTTGAGAGATCAGAATTTCAGCTTTCATTTCCTGATATTTACATCAAGATGTGTTAAACGACTTAGAACATTGCACCTTTGGTGGCAGACCACCCAATTTTAGGTGGGCAAAAGTATAGGAACAGATAGTCTTAAGTAAATGACACTTAATATTTGGTTGCATATCCCTTATTTGCAATAACTGCATCGAGCTGGCAACCCACTGACATCACCAAACTGTTGCATTCTTCCTTTGTGAAGCTTCTCCAGATATGTGACACAGCTTCTTTCAGTTGTTGTTTGTTTTGGGTAGTTCCTCCCTTCAGTCTCCTCTTCAGGAAGAACTTTCTAAAACCTTCCACTTTATCCCCTAGTGAAGTCCTTTGTTATGCTGGCAGTGTGTTTTGGGTCATTGTCTTGCTGCATGATGAAGTTCCTCTCAGTTAGATTGGATGCATTTCTCTGTAAATTGGCAGACAGAATGTTTCTTTAAACTTCTGAATTCATTCTTATTCTACCATCATGAGTTGAATCATCAGTAAAGATTAACGAGTCCGTTCCAGAAGCAGCCATGCAAGCCCAAGCCATGACACTACCTCCACCATGCTTGACCGATGAGCGTGTATGTTTTGGATCATGAGCAGATCCTTTCTTTCTCCACACTTTGTTCTTTCCATCACTTTGGTAGAGGTTAATCTTTGTTCCAAAACTTTTGTGGCTCGTCTGTGTATTTCTTTCTGAATTCCAATCTGGCCTTCTGACTCTGACTGCTGATGAGTGGCTGGATCTTGTGGTATGGCCTCTACATTTCGGTTCTGAAAGTCTTCTTCGAACAGTGGATTATGATAGCTTCACTTCTGCCCTGTGGAGGTTTTTGGTGATGTCACTGACTGTTGTTTTGGGGTTTTTCTTCACAGCTCTCACAACGTTTCTGTCGTTAACTGCTGCTGTTTTCCTTGGCTGACCTGTTCAATGTCTGGTTGTTAGTACAACAGTGGTTTCTTTCTTTTTTAGGACATTCCAAATTGTTGTATTGGCTTTGCCCAATGCATTTCCAGTGACTCGATTTTCCCCTCTCTTCTTGCTTTTCTTCCATAGACAGCTATCTGGTCTTCATATTGGTTTATTCTTTTTAACAACAAATGCAGTCTTCGCAGGTGAAACCCAGGCCTCAGACCAAGAGTAGACATTCAGAGCTGTTAATTGTTTAAAGAATCAATCTAATAGGGCACATCTGGGCAACAAGAAACACCTGTCAGTCACATGTTCCAGTATTTTTGATCACTTGGAAAAATGGGTGACTTCAAACAAAAGGTGTCATGTTCTAAGTTGTTTAAAACATTTAGATTAAATATCAGAAAATCAAATAAAAAGTTGATCTATCATCTAATATTCATCTTTTGATCTCAAACCCAAATGTCTGCAGTGTATAGCAAAAATAAAAGAATATATAAAAAACATTTATCTTGTATTTCCTTTAGATCAGTCAACATACAGACATATTCGCTTGTTAAATATAAAACGCTGACTGTACATTTCACTGGTTTAATGAGGAAAAACAGTTAGCTGGCTAGATTTCTGCTAATAAAAGACGAGCGCAAAGGTTCAAAATGAAGTAATTCCCACTTACCAAGTAAGTCGAATGCAGCATTAATTAATCATTAAGAAAGTATTACTTAAGTATTAATACATGCTTATATGTGCACCTTTATAAGGTACCTTTTAAGGTAAAGCGATACCTTTCAATTCATAGTATATTAGACGCAGCAGTAAGGTTAAAAAAGTAGCCCACTTCTAGTCTTAGTTCTAGTGCTATCATGCATTAAATATCGATAGCAGTTTCTCTGATTTAAAGTCTCTCTGCCATGTGTATGAACAGGACAGTGCATCCTATGAAGCCTTAATCCGTAGAGCCTCATCTCTGGTGACCGACAGTGCCAATACTTTTCTGTCTCAAACCACACTGGCACTAGTGGACTCGCTCACCCGATATACCAAGGTATTAAAATGCACATTTTCAGATCAGACTTGTTTTGTGACCTGAAAACAAGAGCATAAAAATATTTTTGTGTTTGTGTGTATTTCCTCTCTCCAGGCAATGCACGCCCTTATAACTCTGCACAAGCGCTATGTGGCGAATATCAACAGACTAAGTCCTGCAGATGAGAATGCAGTGTGGGGGGTGATAGTTCACCAGCGCGAGGAGGTAACGATTCCCAAAATATTCAGAAAATGTAAACTGCTGATCAACCAGGTGCGACTGGATACTGTCATTCACCCTCCACGTTGATATTAGCAAGAGACAAAGTGATGGTGATCTGGCTTTTGACAAGTCAATGACAAGTGACATTTGAACTTAGATTTTCTTAATTCTATGCAAATTAGGTATGACCGTAAAAATGACTCCGTATCCTGTCATACAGTCAGGTCCATAAATATTGGGACATCGACACAATTCTAACATTTTTGACTCTATACATCACCACAATGGATTTCAAATTAAACGAACAAGATGTGCTTTAACTGCAGACTGTCAGCTTTAATTTGAGGGTATTTACATCCAAATCAGGTGAACGGTGTAGGAATTACAACAGTTTGCATATGTGCCTCCCACTTGTTAAGGGACCAAAAGTAATGGGACAGAATAATAATCATAAATCAAACTTTCAC